CCCCCCCCCCCCCCCCCCCGATTCAACACTCTTTTGGAAATATATATTTATATAGAAAGACAAACCAAAAACCTGCCTACCACATTGAAACGCCGTATCATCATTATTGGGTATACATCTCTACACTTAAACCGCTTCCGGTTTAGAATTAAACCGGAAAACCAGCATTCACACAGGCCGCCGGAGAAAGCAAGCATGATCCTCCACTGGCTTCAGCTCTCACTGTTTTGCCTGAGTCCATCCAAAACAAATGGGAAAACATAAGCTTCAAGAACCGCCATTATCGCTTCTTGTCAGCTTTAGAACACATTCAGACAAGACAAAAAAAGACTAAACCTACCCATGATTCTACCGTAAAGCAGTTTTTTAAATCAAGAACCCCATCTGATTATAATAATATATTAAGTGATTCATATTATCTAATGAAAATACAGCTTGTTAGGAGCTTCATGCGGCTGTGAGGTGAAGCCAAGAGACGCTTTTGAAGAATACATATCCATTTGGATAAACAAAAGGGTATATGGATCATTTAAAGGGTAGCAGTAGTAGTAGTACGTTACCTGAGAGTACAAGAAGGTTCCGAGGATGGCAATGGCGGCACCAAGGGCATTGATGGGCTGGACGGGAGTGCTGAAGATGATGATGGAGGAGACAATGACGGAAATACGTTTCATGGTGTTACCAATGCTAAACGTCAAGGGAGAGATCTCGTCTAGCGACATGTATGACACTTGGTTGTACAGATGATAGAACACGCTCTGGGCAGCCACCCACCTGTTACCCCAAAGAGATGTGATCAATGTAAGCCAGAAGGCACATGTTCAAAACAGAAACTTTACCAAAAGAATCGAGAAAAAGACCCTTCTAGACTAATTTGTCAGTTGGAAACTAGTAGAGAAGAGGGCATCATTAGAAATGCCAGGAACAGGACATAACTGAATTAGGCTCTCTCATGTGGTCTGAATTTCCATTGTCAAACACAAAAGTAGATAAGGAGGGAATGTTTCAAGGGTTTTAGGGAATTTACGCGATGAATTGGGGTCCAATATCAGAGAGAGCCTTCTGCCATCCATCTATCCAAATCTGTGGACCCTCGACCGCAAACGCAAATGGTGTGAGAATCAAGAGGGATAAAAGGGAGAGACAAGCATAGTAGTTCATCCCGCTCACGGACTTCCCCTTCATACCCTTCTTTGAGAATATGTTCCGGAGGACGAAAGCCAAGTTGGAAATCATTGCTCCCATAAAACCTGAAACCAGGAACCGTAATTTCAGATGAAAGATCCGAAATTTCACATCACCATATCACCAGAGGCACCTCATGAACACCAAATATTTGTGCCAAGTCATAAGAAAAAGAAAACAAGAGATGCAGACAAGAACAGGGGCTAGATAGAGCACAGAGGATTCATTACCAGTCATGTTGAAGTTTAACTCGGTGAGAGCGGAGAGAGCGCAACCACCGATGATAGGAATGAGGGAAAGATAGACAGAGGTCGGAAAGGTTTCGCCCAAAAGGAACCTCGAGACCAAAACGGTGAACGCTGGCTCACCGCTCTTGATGATGTGAGTGAACGAAACGGCAACCTTTGACATACTCACAGTTGCTGCTACATGTCCTATTGTGTGAGCCACAGCAACCTATTTCCCCCAAAATTTCACAACATTTCAGTGAAACAGAACCAATGGCTGAAATCTGAATGTTAGAGTCATTTACAAAACCCTCAAGCATGAAATTCATAATTCAGCAGCTTGAATCAATGATGGTACTTGGAATTCTTGGTTGATTTGTTCAGTTTTAATTAGTGACCGAGGATTTCTAAGTTTCATAGCGAAATTGAGCAACATATGAACAAAAACATCACTTTCTTCTCCCATGGTTTTCTCAGGAAGCAAACAAAACTGTGTCAGTCACTCTCAGGTAAGAGAGAATGAAAAACTACAAAACATTAATGCGAAATCAGCAGG